ATATTAATAAATCTTTATTTTTAAAGGAATAATCACATCTGTTTTCTTTTTAATTTTAACAGTAAACCTCTGTTGTGCAGCACTTTGTTTGCCAAAAAATAAAAGGGTTTAATTTTCATTTGATTAGGATAAATTAAATTAATGTCTTATGCCTTCATCTGATTACCAGAAAAATTGAGAACATTTTATAGGGCCCTATTAATGTTTAAAAAAGGACCCTATACAAAAAAAAAAAAAAGAATAGGATTAAAATACAGGCATGTGGTTCTTAATTTCTTTTTATTAATTCACCATTTGTAAAATGATGTTTACTGTTCATTTTTTAGAAATATGAATAGCATTTGTATTAAAACTATATTCACTGAATGTAATCAAAAAATCGAGAATCGAATCGAATCGAGAACTTTCGAATCGAAATCGAATCGAATCGGGACATCTGAATCGATACTCAGCCCTAGTTTTCAGTAAGTTGTGGTAGGGCACTGCAGTTGATCTTACTTATTTTGATCTAATTTAATTAAGTGTGAGTGTGTGTGTGCATGTTTATGTGGTTTATGATGACACAAATTTGTATAATGACATGGGTATGACAACGAGAAGGTGATTTATGAGGACATTTTCAGTGTCCCCGTAATTCAAAAGACTTATAAATAATTCAGAATGAGTTTTTTTTTAAATCTAAAAATGCAGAAAGTTTCCTGTAAGGGGTAGGTTTAGGTGTAGGGCGACAGAAAAGACGGTTTGTACAGTATAAAAACCATTACGCCTATGGAGAGTCCCCGTAAACCATAAAAACAAACGTGTGTGTTTGTGTGCGTATATAACCCTATATATATATATTTTTTTTTTTTAGAAAAAGACAATTCTGTTTTTTGGGGTAAAGTTTAAGGAATAAAGCTATATATTCTGAGATGCCTATGAAGAACCTAAGTTGCAGGAGAAAGGGGGCAGTACAATCAACAAAAGCAAAATATGCTGTCACGTGTGAATTAACACAAACAGATCATAAACACAGTAATTGTCTTACCGTTCTGGTGGAAGAGCTGGTGGATTGCCACCTCTTGAGGGTTGAAGAACAGGGTTGCCATGTCATTATATGTGTTGTTGTAGCAGAAGAAGCGTCGTATGGTTGAGTTCACCTCCTCATTTACAGACCCCTAAACAGCAAACCATTACTGCACTTACAGACTGTCTGATGCATACTGCACACAAAAACTACAACTTTATCGGGATGGCAAGTTCTAATTTTATGAGAACAAGCTGCAGTGTGGACCAGGATGCATATCTTATATGCCTATATAGCAACCTATATCCTATATATAGGTTGCTATATAGGTATATAATGTGTGTATATCCTATATATCAGCAGTTGAATAGCGTGCTACTGTTACTTCATCTCAGCAAGTTATATTTACTTACAATGATGTCTTCATCTGTACTTAATGCATTGCACTTAACATTTGTGAAACTTAAATCAGTATCATTGCTACCCAATGACATGTAACCGACCTTTAAATGACACATAAAAGAAACTAACTATGATCGGTCATTGCATATGTCCGTCAAATGGTCTCTTCCTATATAACGGAGCTGTTCTTGGCCATATTGAGCTACGAAGAGGACCAGACTGTACTGCTGTAGAACTCCTGACTATCAGCACATAGAAATCACATATTAAAAAAAGCCCAGCAAAAGAGAGAAACAGAGAAATATAGAGGTAAAGGAAAGAATGAAAGACTGAAGTTAAAGGAGAGGAAGGAAGCTGGTCTGTGACTGACCTGTGTTGATGTGTTGTTATTGGTGGAGACTAAATCTCGACACTCCCCCAGAGTCACTGACGCCACGAAGATCACGAGTGTGGTCACCATACACACCAGCAGACTCTCCAGCAGCCTGCCAGTCAAACAAATACAGCGTCAGACAGCTACTCTCCTGTTATCGGAGCACTTCACTTCTCCAGTTGTTTTGAGTAGTGCTGTTCAATACGAATCCATATAATTGAGATCTCTCTCGGGTACCTGATGAATCTTGCTTTGGGGTGAACGTTTCTCATGCGGTACTTTGCGAGGCGTTTGTTGATGCAGTTGAAGAGAGCGCCGAGCAAACCTCCTGCCACCCCCATCAACACAAAAAACGCCAAATCTACTGCCGTCCACAAATGACACATCTTATCTCCGTCTACACACTGCAGAAAGCAAAGAAAATAGGTTAACACCACACACCCAACTGATTTGTTTTTCCCAATAATTCCTGGATCACTTCGAAGTCCACACAAAATCCATTCACAAGTGACCGAATGTGGAGACTGAAAGTCAAGTTCACCGTCAAGATCATGTTAATTTACCCCAATAGTTTTCATTCATTTTAATTATCACTGTAATGTGTATCACATTAATTAACTTTAGATTACTGCTTTAACTATTTATTTTAAAAATGTTGCATTTCCTATAATAGAAGGCTAAAATAATAATGAATAAACTGCATTTTGACATTGGTAAACTATTATCAATAAACATAAATTAAACATTTTATAAACATTGTATAAACATTGGCCTAGTTGACATCAGGAGAAAAAAAATATATATATATATATAATTTAATATTAGAATGATTTCTGAAGGATCATGTGACACTTTATACTGGAGTAATGGCAGATGTGTATTTCTGTAGCTTTTTTACCTTAAACTCCCCAAAGTTGAGCAGGCCAGGCAGCTGGAATGATCCCCATTTATTGAAGTTGATCCCAGAACGAAAGAAGTTGAGTGTAAAAGTGGCAGACATGGAGCAGAACAACTTTAATACAGAAGAGAAACAGAGAGGGAATTATAAACTGAACTTTCTTAGCACAGACTGAAATTACATGAACAAAACCCTACATAATATATCCACATACCACTTTCCATGTGAGGGCCTGGTTCCAGAAGGACGACCCCTCCTCCAGACTGAAGAGGGTGCCCCCTATAGGTGCCCCAAAGGCAGCCGCAACTCCAGCCGCTGCACCCGCTGACACGAAATCCCTCTTGTCCCTGAACACAGAAACAAAATAAACAAAAATATCTTTGACAAAATCCCAAATGACCATGTTTAGTTTAATAATACAAATTCCTGGTCACATTGTGCATGTTTCAATAATATTTTAAATATTAGGGCTGCACGATTAATCGCATGCAATATTTAACGCGCATCATCGTGCAGCCCTATTAAATATTATTTATTAAATAATTATTTAATATTTATAATAAACAGAGTAGGATGCAATAGGGATGGGCAATACGACCAAAATCTTAACACAATAGGAGTAATTTTTTTTCACGATTATGATATATCAAAATAGTTATTTTGCTTTAAGTAAGGTTTTTATGATATCAATTTTTGATACCAAAAATTTCACAATTCTCATCATCAATTTCAATATCACACACACACACAAATATAATTAATACTACCTAACTAGCATAAGTGTTAAAAAAAAAAACACCCAAGCTTACTGAAGACAAGTAAAAGAACTAAGAAACTAATTACAAGCAACAGGACAAAAATCTACAATAGAACAAAGACTCAAATGAATCAGACCTACGTGAAAAACTTCAAGCACTAGAAACACGAAATGCTACTTGAATTATATGTTATGCACAAAAAAAAAAGAACACTGCATAGTCTTCACTATGTAAAAATAAATACAGGTTTATTCCTAATAACACAAGTGATTCAGTCAAGAGCAGCAAGAGATTTTCTCTCTTTTGTTGTTTGATCAGCATTAATGACACAGACAGCACCAGGTTTATTAGGCTGCTGTCACTTTAAGACCGAAAGAACGTATCTAATATACTGATACACATGCATTTTCTTTCTCAACTGTTAACTTAAGACACAAATGGCTGATTTTATGAGGATACTCGCGTGTTTTAGGTGCATACGCTCAAACCGTCTCTCAGAGTGTGTGCACATATTAGGGGTTGCACTGACTAGTCGACTTTAATGCTCTGCCATGACGCTTTAAGCTTGAGGTCGAGACATTTACACTCCATTTCCAGACAGTTAAAATGCCAAATAAATGCATATTCAAAAAGCGCTCCACAAGATGTGTGTGATTATACCATCTGGATGCTCGAAACTGAACAGGAGAAAGCACGTTTTAAACAGCTTATTGTACAGGTAAGTTAACCGCCGTTCTAATCTAATGCGCTGCTGCACTGTAACGCACACACATATAGGCTACAGACAGTGGCTCGTACAACACACGCAGATCGTGCCTGTCAACACTGTTCTGTGATTTCTCAATAACATAGCTTAGAAACTGAAAAGTTCTAGCATATATTTCTTACCTAAATCCCACAGCTTCATTATTAGTAGAGAGATGCTGCCAGGTAGAATAGGTTTGATGGCCACTTAATGCTTTACATTTATTTTGTGCAATGTTATGAATGATTCCGTGCTTGTCGTGTTGTAGTGCTCACCTGTCACTGCGGAAATAGGGAAAGTGAAAGCGAATCTTCTTGAAGGTGATGCTCTGAAACTAACCAGAGAGACAAGCATGCTTTCATAAGTGTATGACTGTGACAAGAGAGATAATGCATGAATGAATCACCCGGTTACATCCAGAACACAAAATCATTAACCATCTAAAGTATTCTCAACAATTTTGCATAGGAGAACGGTTAAAGATTAGTTTATTGTTTGGTTCAAGTTGGATACATGAGCATGTGGAGGAGTACCTGAGGAAGTCCTGCTCCTACTATCGCTCCACTGTGAATCATTGGTCCCTCTTTACCCACAAACAATCCTGAAACACAAACAATACTGAATCAGCATGGAGCAACTTCAAAAAGACACATCACTGTCATTTAGCTGCATGGCTCTGATCAACGTTACCGGAATAAGGCCAGTTTGCACATATTTTTCTTCAAAATCTGAATCAAAAAGCGGCAATCACCACCGATAGTCTAATACAGCACAGAGCCAGAGTGTATTCTAATCTTTGTCTGTGCTGATATAGACTATTTTCCTCATCATTACCTCCTGCAACAGCGAACAGGACTCCTGTGACCTTACATATGAAGGTTCGCAGCCGCACAATCCCGGGAATCTTTACTCCGTTCAGGTAACTTTTAATTTCTGAGATACCAGACCCAGCTGCAACAGGCTATTACACAGAAGAAACAGATTGTATAGGCTACTACACACACACAAGCTGTCTTAACCGTGGCTTGTGTATTGCAAACACATACCAGCTTCATCACTGTTTCTGTCACGCGACTCTGTTCCCCTTTCGGGCTTGAACTGATGGTAAAACTAATTTACTGTCTTTACATTTATTTTGAAAGATGAAGCTCGCGATTATGGTAAGGGGCATTACATTTCCGACGTGTGCTTGTGGTGTTCGGCCAATCACAATGCACTGGGTCAGCTGGCCAATCAGAGCAGACTGCGCTTGTCGGAAGGAGGGGCTTTGTAGAAAACGAAGCGTTTGAGAGAGGCGGGGCATAGAGGACCTACAATAATGTACAGTATTTGAAAAATAATGTGTTTTTTGAACATTAAAGCATGTCAACATATTCTGTTACACCAAATACACAAAATAATGATCTTTAAAAAAGCATCATATGACCCCTTTAAAGTATAACATGCATTTTTGATTTTATGTTAAATTATCTCAGACATGCATACACATATATTTTACATATACTGGCAGTTAAAAGTGTGGCATAACTAAAATTTATTGATGTTTTTTCTTTCTTTACAATTTAAAAAGAACTACTTGAATATATATTAAAATGTAATTTATTTCTGTGATCAAAGCTGAATTTTCATCATCACTATTCCAGTCTTCAGTGTCACATGATCCTTCAGAAATCAGTATAATATGCTGATTTGCTGCTCAAGAAACATTTTAATATTATTACTGTATATGTATTAAATATATGCTGCATTGGTGAGAATAAGAGATTTATAAAAAAATTTAAAAAAGACTTTATTCTTGAACATATCGACCTGAGATGTTGTTACCTCAATGAGCACCAAAACGCTGGAGATGAATACGAACACCATATTGAGAGCCAGCAGCTCCAGTAAGGAGAGAGCTAGACAGCCATTCTCACTGCATTCCTCCACAGCTGAAGCACACGTCAAGGACTCAAATAGTGCAGCATTACACAAACCAAAACACAACGCAGAACTGCGCAGAAAGATAGGATACATTGTCCAACCAAGCTGAACTTCAGCTGAGTGAAGAGCCGCACGAAGAAATCAACAAACAGGCCAGTCTGAATAGAAAAAATTGTGCATATCATTAGACCACAGAAATTGTAGGGAGGTGAAACTCATAAACAAATGACCAGTATTTCACCTCCCAAAAAAAAAAAAAAAAAAAAATCTTGATTGTTGTCCAAAAAAAAAAAAAAAAAAAATAAATCTTGATGTTCCTAAAAAAGCTTCATTTTCTGTAATGATATTTATATAATTTAATATAATTATTTAATTAATCATTTTCGGGGGGATTAAATGTGTTTGAATTGTAAATATATTTAAAAATAAAGATATATATTATATATTAAGATAAAATATAATTAAATATATCTGTAGGCATTTGTAGGTGCTAAATGTAAACGCTAAATAATATCAAAGAATACCAATGTTAATATTGTGGACACAAAAGGTTTCCAACAGAAAGAATTGATATAAGTGACTTCAACCTGATCAATTTATTGTAACCTTTAAGATCTTGCATCTGAAAACAAAGACATATTTGTTCTTGTTTTCTCATATTGTTCTTTTATTGTCTCCCAGTGACATTTGATTTTAGCCAAATCAAGTAGTGCGATCTATAATTTTCTATAAATCTCATTCTCCGATAGGGTATAAACCACCACAAAACTCACCAGTCCTGTTGACACTCCGATCGCAAAAACCAAAATCCACTTTATCGCTTCATACCTTCTAGCTTTCTGTAAGAGAAATGAGATAATACACTTGGTAAACAGGGACTTGACATCATATGAATATAATAAATGAAGACATTACACATTTGACCTTTTTATCCAACCCCTCCAACACCTCCAGGAGTGGCTCATTAATGCATCGGTCATAATCCAAACTCTGAAATGCCAAACATAAATAAAGACATGCAGTATTTTTTTTTAAACATAAAACAAATAATCGTGTTGCAAGTCTTTTGCTTTTATTGGAAGCATAATCTGTTGTGTCCATTACTCACGAACCTCATAGTCTTTTCTCGGCAATATTTCATCCTCATCTTCTCTGGTTTCACCCAGTATTGTCTAACAAGCAAAAGGCAGCAACAAAATCAGGTTAACATGTTCAGAAAACGTAAAACCCTAATCTAATGGTTTCCCAGGCTGGGACCTCAGTCCTCAGAATGAACAGATGGCCTGGATCGACTCTAAACAATGGAGTGACATTTCTGACATTTCACTTTATTATACCTAGAATAATGACTGATGCAAAAGATTTTATTATTGCATATTATTGTATTTATGATGCAATATTAGCATCACTTTACAACCATAAAGAGCACATTGACAGTATTAAATCAGGTTGATCATCATATCAAGAAATACAGTCTCTCATAACCTGGTGAGCTCTAGACAATGATTTAACAGTGATATACCGCCCTGATGATATATTGTCCAAAGCTGCTTCACTGGCTAAAGACGACCAACAATGTCGTCTAGATAGGGAGCACACTAGACTCAGAAACGGTTACACTTTCATGTTCATTGATAATGCATATTGCATTCAGTAGCTTGTGGAGTTTTACTGCTCTCAGCAGACTTGGTTTGATTGCTGAACTCATTGTTAATGTACACCTGATTCACATCAGGCTGTTTACAGTCAATTTGGGTGGAGAACAGCAGATGAAGCATAGATTACAGCATCAGAATGAATTCAACAAGGCGTTTTGCGTTAGGAAACAGATAAGACAAATCACATATTTTATACCAGCTCCTCTGGTGTTCTGGTTTCGCCTTCATTGCAGCAGCACTGACAACACAAACAGCCTCCACAGCACGCCATCATCTTCAGCAACACGCCTGATCACATGACCATCACACAGGCCAGCTGGGCTATTCAAGCGCGCGCCAGCTGCGCTGCTTTAACGCAGACGCGAGGGACTCAAGCCCAGTATGCTATGCTACCAAAGAATATTTCTATAGTCTATATGCAACCGACTAATCTATGATATGTGTACTAGTGATAAAGCTCATTCCCGCCACATACGGAAAAAAAATCTACTTTAGTAAATCAACAAAACATAAAATGTCTAAACTCTGAGATACTAAGTCATATTTATGAGATCAATAAGTACGAGGAAACGTAAGGTATAAGATAAAAGGTCAAAATTATGACATAATATGACATAAAAGTACACAGTATGAGACACTAGGCTACATCATGATTAGTTGGTGTGCCAATTTATCTAATATTTTTATCTCGTGATTATGACTTTATCTCATTATTTCGACATTTTGTCATAATTTCGACTTTTTACGTCAGAACTTTTATTTCATAATTATGAGTTGATATCTCATTTTGACGTTTTATGTCATAATTTCGACTGTTTTATTATTATGTATTTACAACGAGCCATTGTGGGGGATGGGAGTGCGTATGTGTTGCGGGTGCTTAGAGTCTCCAGATATGTGTATTACAAATATAGCATGTGAGATTAAACTAAAGGCTTCAAATGAAAGAGAACAGTTTGGGATAAATAGATTGACTGTTCTTTTCTTTTCTGTGTGGACGTGCGCGTTTCAGTGAGTGTAGCTCATTAATTATTAATGACTACATGTGGTGTGTTTACATCACACACGATGACAGACGCCGCATCCGAGGGGGCGTGGCCCGCGTGAAGGGGGCGTGGCCTTTCTCCACTAGCCCCTTTATGGTCGTCCATGCTGGCCGCACGCGCTGTTTAGCAGAGCGCGCTCATAGACTGCACTCTCCTCTCATAACTCCTGGAGGATTGGGAAAAGGTTGAAGGTAATGGAGGAAAGGCGTTTTTATACTATTACAGGGTCGGCGTGACTGTTTCGGTTTAGGCTAATTAAAGGGACCGGTGCAGTCACGCGGAACCGCATGTCCCGAGCTATGAACAATATCAAAAGATGCACAAATCAATCAAATCAAAGCGAGTTATCATGTCATATCAATTTGTTTGACTGTGTGTTGCTTGCATTGATTGTCTGTTTAAAAATAGAGTATTTAAAAGCAACATTCTTTTGAATGAACGTGTCTTCCTGTGAAGTAGGCGCGTTATAAACTCATCAGCCGTAATGCATTTAATGCATTCAGCAAATATGATCGTCGTGATGATACGAATCGTTATTTTATTCATAGAGCGCTTTTTAGGGTACTCCAAGACACTTTACAACATTTTCATACTTCTACTACCATTTATTTTTATGAGATCGGGAGCAACAAATGCTAAACTATGTTTTGGTATAACGCGTTATCATATTCGAAAAAGACTTGATCGCAATATTGAGTTTTATGCAGGAACATTAGGATGATTGGCAATCAGTGTCGGGGAAAGTTACTTTTAAAAGTAATGCATTACAATATTGCGTTACTTCCTAAAAAGTAACTAATTACGTTACTTAGTTACTTTATATTGAAAGTAATGCGTTACGTTACTT